TATATTCGCTGTCTTACTTTTTAATTTTGAAATATTTTATTATCGCATGGAAAGAAAGTTTTGCCAAAGTATTTAAAAATTTAGCTAAATACAGAAAATAATTTTGTTAAACTATATCAAAACAATTATTAGGACACTCAAACTGGTTACTAGAATATCAAAACTTTTTCTAGCACTGCTCATCATGCTAGAGCGTCCTACACAATTATTTCAATAAAAATTAGTTCAACAAAATTATTTTCAGATTTTTATCTATTTTCAATTTTTACACAGAGAATAAAATGTACTAAATTTTAAAGAATATTTATTTGAATAATATCAACACTCATTTAAGTAAATATTTGTTTAATAAAAAATTATAGTTAAATCAAAATAGTTTATGTACTAAATAGTTTTTATATTAAGCAAAACTTATTTCTATGCGATGATGAGGAAACATTCCTTTTCATAAAGATTAATTCTCATTACGTTCTAATATAGTTCTCATTTGAAATAGTTTTTAATACGGTGTTAAATAACATCTAATTGTGAGCATAATTCAACAGTGCAACATTGCGATTTAATTAACAAGTAGACGATGGCTATTCTCGGTTAGAATACGTGCATTAATATTGAAACCAGATGCATTAATTATCAGTGATGCAAATTAATGCGTTTGTATTGTACATTTGACATCCGTGCAATGAACCGTGTAAACTAGAATCTGATGCAAAAACATATTTGCATAAGAAGCAATTGCACGAAACGAGAATTGTGATTAATAACATCTGGCGAAATTAGGGTAACACGGTTTCAGATTATAACTTCTTTTAGACAAATCAATTGAAATCGAACGGGTGAGTGGGTGGGCTTTACTTCTTTATATCTTAATCGAATCTTTCAGCATTCCGATTTTCTCGATAATTTCCAAAGTATCTCGATCGTTCGTTCCAATTATATGACAAGTTACGGCTCTCATCGCGATTGATTTTCCATGTTACACAGTTAGCCGAATTAAGAAACCTTTCGTGATAAAACTGAGATTCTTAATTTTTCAATCACTCTTAAGCAGCGTTTTGCCCAGACGATCTTTCGCCAAGTGTCTCTTTAGAAACGAAGAAATAGAATTACGAAGGACTCTTCAAAATAGCAAAAAGGAAAGATGACGAACAATCTCTGCGAAAAGCGTGTAATAATTTTAACGTACGATTCACAACTTTATTATATCTCGAATAGCTTTTCGTGAATGGACAAAATTAAAACTCGGTTTTCGTTGGAATTTTCCAATTTGTCTCAAATTGTGACGAAAACGTGTTGCGCTTTTGCACGTCTCGCATTAGTATTCTTTTCTCGTTCTCTTCCTCTTCTCTTTCTTTCTCTTGCATGCTTCGAATTTTATTGATTTATTGTATAATAAAAAAATATATATATAAAATTTTGAAAGAAATATGTAATTAACTGATAATAAATCCGAATTATCTGTCTATTGAAACGTTACATTTTTGATAAGTTTAAAAAAACGACTTAATGACATCTTCTTTAAACATGAATATCGGAAGAAAAATTATCAATATAAAAGAAGTAATGAAAGTTTTTGATATTACATTGATGAAAAATTAGAATTTTCATTTAGTATGTTTATTAGAGTCTCTCTGTTTTAATAACGAGGAGTTAGAGAAATACATATATCCAGTATGTAAACTTTGGTGCAAAGTTCAAAGTTCTTCTTTCGAGGGTGATTATCATAAGCTAGTCCGAATAACCGATCACGCCACGCTTGTCGGACGGGTGTGGTCGAAAGTTTCAGGCAACTCCTCAGAGGAGTAAATTGGATTAACGATTCGGTTGGTAGTTCACGCTTAAAGTTGCATCGGCATTAAGAACGTGCCATTAGGCCGGCGACTCTTAAGATAAATATGCGCTTCGAATAAATCGTCAAATGAAGACAAACTCGCAAGGAAATAGGAACACTTCTCTGTCATGGAAGAATCAATCGGAATTTATTCCTCAACGAGATTCGCATTGCGAACCTCGAGAGAAACATGAAGGAAACGAAAAAAGGAAAACTATAAAATCAGGACAATATGACGCGTCTATATAAAAAAGAATCTAGTATTCTAAATCAAGCGTGCTTCTTTTTATATATGGATTTCTTCAATTCTCGTATTGAAAGTTAGTACAATTGGGTAATTATTAAAATAATAAAAAAATTATAATAATAAAAAGATTAATTAAAATGTTTATAAATCAAAAGAACTAATTATAGCTGTTCAATGCTTTGGGAGAAAGAAAATTACAACAAAACGAAGTAATATTATGGTAAAAAGATTGCAATAGACCGATGATTGAACAGTAGAAAAAATAAAGTAAAAAAATGAATGGAAACGGGTTATTGCACTCGTTCGGTATTCAGACTGATTGATAAAGATTTCAAAAAGGAAAGAGATTAAATTGGTTCAACAAAATTGTTTGGCTCGCTGGATACTTCAACTTCGCCCTCTTTACTACGTTTGCTTCCATTGGTGGATTAAAAGCGTAGAGATTGAAGTTTGTTAAGTGAAAAGCAGAATACTGATTTCTAAGATCTGAACGAAAACACGAAGGTAATGTTTCTATAAGGGAAATGATCGTTAATTACTATTATATTTTAAAATCTACAAGTATTTTGGATATCTACCTTTTTTAAACGTATTACAAGTGAACTTGTATGATCCTTCGAGGGAGTAATCACTTAATGTAATGATGGGACAGAGTCCCTGAAATCATTGTAAAATTCATTATGAAATCCCGATGTATAATGCGATAATTAAATATGCAACTAGGAGAAATAATTGTGTATATAATATTAGATAAAATCGTTTATTTTATCAAATGTCTGCATATATAGTGAAGAAAATTATTTGTCGTCGAATGAAATCGTCTGAAATCAAATGAAATCATGTGATTTGTAGGACAATATTTCAGCTAGTGGTTACCTCCTCCTGATCCTTTCTAGCCAAATTGAAATTGGTGAAATCAGTCAATAGTACAAGAAAACTTCGATTATCGGGAGCTGGAGGATTCGATGTAGTTATTATCCGCACAAAATGTTCAGATAAAAGGAACGTAAAGGAAATATTAAACAAGATAAGTCTCTCCTCTCAGATGGAACAAATAAATCGCGTATCAATGTAATTCGGTAAGACACGATTCGCCAACGACAATTAAACTCCCAAGACGCGCCGGCTAATGATCTTAATGAATTCGTGGAATCGTCCGTGTGATTATCGGTTAACCGTCAGCCAAGCCCGGGATAGGATTTAGCCGTCGTAAGCTGGCAAAGTCGAGACATCCAATTACGACTGCTGGCTGTCGGAGAATGACGGGGAACGCGAAGAATTCGTCGCGAGACGCTTCTCCGAGGAGAAAGTGTTCGTCGACGCGGAAAATAATTTTTCAAAAGTCGCACGGCCATCTGCTCTTTCTAATTTCTTTCCGGCCGACTCTGCAAGTTATTTCCTTCCCCCTTTTCTTCCTTCTTCCCCGGGCAACCGCTCTGCCGAGTGGCTTGTCTGACGTTATTCTTCGCTATCGGCCAACAGCAAATACGGGATCCTGTATAACAGCGCGAGCAGATGTGGAACGTAATGCGGATTGAGGTTTCTCCGGGATTTCGTTTCAGTTCGTCTGCCGGAGTATACTAATCCGAAAACCGAAAACGATCTGAACTGCCGAGGATAATATGCCGCGGCATCGTGAAACTGCAAGAGTGCATATACCCGATTGATGCACGAACGTTGTTTGTGAAGTCGCTGGAACTTTAGGAAACGGCAGCTAACGAGTTCGCTCTTATATTAATACTCCCGCGAATGAATCTTCATTCGGGAAAATGACGTATCTCTGAAATGAGCGACTTCACGTACCTTTAAAGCAGGAAGATTGTATAAGGCTGGGTTGTTTCACCTCTCGATAAACTTTAGCTCTCTAATTCTCCTGCTCTTTATGCTCTTATCCTTTCACTCTTTTGTTTGTCCATTAGATAAATTATTATATGGTTTATCCAAAGATGAAATAATCGGTTCTAAATCTTTATCTTTTTCTAGTTTTAAGAATTAAAAA